TTAACACCTTAATTAATATAACTCTATGAAGACTTTAACACAGCTTTAAATTTAAAATAACCTATGAAGATTTAAAAACAGCTTAATTAATATAACCAATGAAAAACTTAACACAGCTTAAATAAAATAACCAAAGGGAAAACTTAACACAGCTTAATTAAAAAAACTCTAGTGATGACGTTTTAAAACCAAGCAAAAAAAAATAACTCTAGTGAAAACTTTTAACACAGCTTAAATATTATAACTCTAGTGAAGACTTTAAAAAAACAGCTTAATTAATAAACCAGTGAAACTTTTAACACAGCTTTAAAAAATATAAACCTAGTGAAGACTTTAACACAGCTTTAAAAAATATAACCTAAATGAAAACTTTAAAAACAGCTTTAAATTTAAAATAAATCTATGACGTTAACACAGCTTTAAAAAATATAACTCTAGTGAAGACTTTAACAAGCTTAATTAAATAACTCCAGTGAAGACTTTAAAAAACACTTTAATAAACTCTATAAAGACATTAACAAGCTTAAAAATATAACTCTATGAAACATTTAAAACAGCTTAATTTAAAAAACTCAGTGATGACTTAACACAGCTTTAAATTAATAAACTCTAGTGATGCTTTAACACAGTTTTTTTATTATAAACCAATGATCATTAACACAGTTTTAATATAACTCAAGGATACAATTTAAAACCCCATTTTTAAAACTCTAGGAGACATTAACAATTTTTTAAATTTAAAATAACTAACAATTTAAACTGACAATTTGAGAAGTGACAAGTTTTTTTTTTAAAGTTGAAAAAAATTTTAAAGCCCCTAACACTACTATTAAAAAATAATACTATTGCTGCTACTACTACTGTTTTTGCCCTTTTACTACTGTTGCTACTACGTTACACTACGTTTTCTACTTTCACTAAAAAAAAAATACAACTACTACTTTTCTACTACTGTTTACTACTACGTGCACTTACTACTACTATTAAAATGTTGTTGCACAAACAAATGTTGCACTACTTTACTGTTGTTCTACTTCCCGCACTGGTTTTCTACATACAAAATGTTTTTGCTACTACTACTATTGTTTTGCTACCTAACTAACTGCGTTTCTACTACTACTACTGTTGTTTTCCACTTTTTTACAACGTTTCCTAAATTACTACTGTTGTTGGTTACTACTACTACTACTACCCGTGTTTCACATAACAACTGCGTTGCTGTTTTCTAAAAATTACTCTTTTTCTCTTTACCAAATACTCCGTTGCTACACTACTCTGTTGCTACAACTGCACTACTAGTAATTTTTTGCTAATACTACTACTGCTTTTGCTGCAATTGTACTACTACTATACGATTTTGCTGCACTCTAGTTTTTGCACTACTACTACTACTGTTGCTGCTACACACTTTACTCTGGCTGAAAATTACTCGTTTTCGCTACTATAAAACTGTTCTGCAACTACACTGTTGCTGCTACTACACACTGTTGCGGCCCACACAAACTGCGTGCTGCTGCACTACGCCGTTGCTCTAATTTTAACTTTCTAACACTATACCGCTGTTCTCACTACTTTATTGCTTTGCTGCTTTACAATTCAGCCTTTCTACTAATACTACTACTCTGTTGCTACTTTTTAGTACTGTTGCTACTACTCATACGCTTTGCTGCTACCAAATTTTCTGTTCTGCTGCAAATACGCGTGCTGCTACTATACTATTTCCCTTTTTCCCCACTATTACTACTTTTCCATTTTTCCCACTACACACTAATCTTTTTGCACTACTACTAACAAAAGTTTTTTACTACTAAATACTGTTTTTCTTTCCCTTACAAAAATCTGTTCCACTACTAACTTTTTATACTACTACTACTGTGTGTCCCCCCCCTGCACTACTACACTACATATTGTTGCAAACTACACATACTGTTTCTACTACTACAACCTTTTTCCCACTTCTACTACTAAAAAAGTGCTACAAAACTACACTATATTTACTACTATTACTACTAACGTTTAACATACACTACTGCTGTTGCTTTTACTACACAAATGCGTTTTTACTACTACTTGTACTTTGCTACTACTAAACGTGCGTTTGCGTTACTACCTACTTTATTTAAACTGCCTACTACTTTCTACTACTCTACACCCATAAAAAATTCTAACTACACTGCTGTCCTTCACTACTAAAATAGATATTTTCTTTGTCTACAAATCTGTGTTCTCTACTCTATGCGTTGCTGCTAAAACTACTCTTTTCCTCTACTCTATACTGCTGTTGCTATACACTACTACGCTGTTCTGCTATACATATACTCTGTTCATACACACTACTCTTTTTAACTCTCTACTGCGTGCATATACTAACTCTTTTGCTATCTTCTCGCTGTTCTATTACTTACCATACTGTTGTTTGCTCTACTAACTCTGCTGTTGCTGTTACACTACTTTACCTTTTCTTTTCTGCCTGTTGCTCTCTATACTATTTCACTCGTTGTTTCTCTACTACCTCTACTTGTTGCTGTATCTCTCACTACTGTTGGTCTATTACAGTACTACTACTGTTTTTGTTGGGAGCCCGCTTTCTACTACTATTGCTGTTTTGCACTACTACTACTGCGTTTTTTCAACACTACTACTACTGCATTTTTTTTCACTACTCTACTCTATGTTGTTCGGTTTTTTCTACTACACTACTGTTGTTTTCCACTACACTGTTTCGTTTTTTTGATTACAAATACTACTGCTGCGCTACTACTACTAATCGTTGTTTTCTGCTGGATCTACTACTACTACTATTACACATGCGTTGTTCTAAATACTACTACAAAATGCTGTTTTTGCTACTACAAAACTACTGCGTTGTTGCACTACTACTACTACTACTACTGCATGTTCCTAAACACTACGTTTTTGCTCTACTACTACTGGTTTGTTGCTACTACTCCCTTGCGTTGAGCACTACTACTTTTACTACTCTGTTGCTATAAAACCACTGTTTTTGGGACTAAATACTACGCTTTTCTCTACTACTAAACTTACTGCGCTGTTCTACTACCAAAGTTGTTTTGCTATTTACTACTACAACTGTTTGTTGCTACTACCACTGTTGTTGGTACAAAATTTACTACAACGCGCGTTGTTGCTACTACTACAAACTAACTGCTTTTTTGGGCCTACAACCACTGTTGTTTTAAACCCTTTTACTACTACTCCCCTTGTTGCTATTTACCACTGTTTTTGGTACTACTACTACTATTTGTTTTGCCCCCCCGTTTTTCCATTTTGTTGTTTTTCCCTTACTCCCTACTACAGTTTTCCCAAAATTTAAGGGGGGTTATGTTCCTCCTTTGGGGGGGGGGGGGGATTTTTCCCTTTTTTTGGGGGGGGGGGCGTTTTTGGGTAAACTACCACTTTTTGGTTGGTACTACTAAAACTACTGTTTTTTTGCACTTTACTCCCTGTTACTACTATCCCTTTTTGCTGTTGCTCAACTCCCACTACAAACTAACTGTTACTACTACTACTACTGCTGTTTTTCCCTACTTTTTGATTGCACAACTTTTTAATACTTCTGCCTGTGGCTTAGTTTGAAACTTTCCCTGGGGCCTCACACACTGAGTCCCCCGGGGTTTCCCAACCCCGGGCCCAGGGGTATAAACTTTTGGGTAATTTTCCAAAAACCCCCAATCTACCTTTTTCACCTAGCAGTAAGTAGGGTACTTGAGTGTTAGTTGACTGGCGGGGTGCCCTCACCCGGGGGAACAATAGGAAGGAAAATGATATTTAAAGGTAATTTAAAAGGGCTATCATTAGGGGCAACGTATCCCACGAGTTTTTAAATAAATCCTAATACAGAGATAACTAAGAGCGAGTATATAAAAAGGGGAAAAGGAAAGTCAGGTGGTAAGCTGAAAAAGGGTTTTTGTAGTAGCAACATCAGAAAAGGGAAAAATTAGTATAGTTGTAGTGGCAGTAGTATAGTGGGCAAAAGTAGTAGTATAGAAGAAAACGTGTTAAAGGTTTTCCAGAATGGGGAAAATGAGAAACCCTTTATTTAGACCTCTGTAACATGATGTTGACAGATCCTCCTCCACTGCATCTGTCTCACAAGTTGCATGACTACTACCACTACTACCAGTACTACCACTACTATCACTACTACCAGTACTACCACTACTACCACTACTACCAGTACTACCACTACTACCACTACTACCAGTACTACCACTACTACCACTACTACCAGTACTACCACTACTACCACTACTACCAGTACTACCACTACTACCACTACTACCAGTACTACCACTACTACCACTACTACTAGTACTACCACTACTACTACTACTACCACTACCAGTACTACCACTACTACCACCACTACCAGTACTACCACTACTACCAGTACTACCACTACTACCAGTACTACCACTACTACCACTACTACTACTACTACCCTCTAGAAGCTTACGACTTGATTCTCGCCACTATTTATACTCGTTCTTAATTATCTCTGTATTAGGACTAAAGTCACTCGTGGTGAAACCTGTCTTGTACCATAATGTTGTGAACTGCACATACCTGTCTTGTACCATAATGTTGTGAACTGCACATACCTGTCTTGTACCATAATGTTGTGAACTGCACATACCTGTCTTGTACCATAATGTTGTGAACTGCACATACCTGTCTTGTACCATAATGTTGTGAACTGCACATACCTGTCTTGTACCATAATTACTACTAATTACTACAAATAATAAAAAAAAATATTAATAATTAAGATACCACTGCTACTACTATTAATACTACTAATACCAATACCACTACTATAACTACTACTACTACTACAAGTTATACAAGTACTTTTACTAATACTAATATCACTATTTTTACATATTCATTTACTATTACATATACCGCTACTACTACTATTGATAATAATAATAATAATAATAATAATAATAATAATAATAATAATAATAGCAACTGACCTGAAGGGAAGTTGGGAGGTCTGTAGTTGCTCTTATAGAAGAGAAAGATCAAGACGGTGACAATCAAGGTCACTGTCGTCCACATTTCTGATCACTGTAAATCATCAATATAACATTATGAAGCCTATGAACCAAATTTAAATGTTTAAAAGTAAACACTGAAGCTGTAACGCAGTGTTTGTCATCTATGTGCATAAAAAATAACATCATCATTGGTCAATCTACATAAATATTTAGACGACTTAAGTCATTAACACAAAGAGAAATAATAATGAAGGCAAGAAAACATATTTGAAGGTTTTAATTTATTGTTACAATAAAGAATATACACTTATAGAGGTGTTTGTATTTCATGTATCTCCTAATGGTATCTTCAGAATGTTTCTTCTAATTAGCTTTTCAACTTTAACTATTGTTTATCTTACATGGAGGAAGAGTAGAATATTTTATTATCATTTGTGGCAAATTATCAGTTAATGAAGTGAAATATTGATTACCAGAAAAAACTGAGAATTTCTCATATGATTTCCTTCAGATTTCCACCTCTACTTATTTCCCTAAAATAAGAAGAGTAAAAAAAATATCTCAACATATGAATATATATATGTATATATATATATATATATATATATATATATATATATATATATATATAATATATATATATATATATATAATATATATATATATATATATATATATATATATATATATATATATATATATATATATATATATATATATCATAGATTTTAAGTAATATTAAATAAATTTAAACTGATCTGTGACGCGAGTATAATTAGGGTAAAAAAATGTTAAGTTAGGGTAAGTAGGGGAGGTTTCCTATGTTGTATTTAGTCAAAAGAATAAATAAAATTAGAATCACTGCGTATTTTTTCGGCACAGAGTTCATAAATGAGGAAATTTTATTTATTAATGAAATAGTGAATGATCTAAAATACCCCCTAAACTTAATAGACAAATCTTTTAAAATTGCCCATAATATATTTTACGATTCGAGAAAGACAAACATTCAACCACGACAATATTGGCTCTCCATTACCATAAATCCTTTTTTGATATACTTGTCTACTTAAGAATTTAAAATCAAAGTTGTTTTTAAAAAATATTGGTACATTAAAAAAGTCTGAATAAGAATTCCACGAAAAAGTTACTTTCTTTGTTAATAAGATTCCCAGTAAATGTAACAACCTCTGCTCGAGTTAATTTTCAGTATGTTTCAAATTTACGGCAGCTGGAAGAAAGTGGAAACATTTGCGAGTGTGACCTGGAGACACACACACAATAAACATTTGCGAGTGTGACCTGGAGACACACACAATAAACATTTGCGAGTGTGACCTGGAGACACACACAATAAACATTTGCGAGTGTGACCTGGAGACACACAACAAACATTTGCGAGTGTGACCTGGAGACACACAACAAACATTTGCGAGTGTGACCTGGAGACACACACAACAAACATTTGCGAGTGTGACCTGGAGACACACACAACACACATTTGCGAGTGTGACCTGGAGACACACACAACAAACATTTGCGAGTGTGACCTGGAGATACACACAACAAACATTTGCGAGTGTGACCTGGAGACACACACAACACACATTTGCGAGTGTGACCTGGAGACACACACAAACATTTGCGAGTGTGACCTGGAGACACACACAACAAACATTTGCGAGTGTGACCTGGAGACACACACAACACACAATTTGGCGAGTGTGACCTGGAGACACATAACAACAAACATTTGCGAGTGTAAACCGGGAGACACACACAACAAACAATTTGCGAGTGTGACCTGGAGACACACACAAACATTTGCGAGTGTGACCTGGAGACACACACAATAAACATTTGCGAGTGTGACCTGGAGACACACACAATAAACATTTGCGAGTGTGACCTGGAGACACACACAATAAACATTTGCTAGTGTGACCTGGAGACACAAACAACACACCTCGACTAATTAACATAAGATTTAAAGTACACTTTAAAGACTTGGAGAAAATGCACGAGCATGATTGAGAAATACAAAATACAGACATTGACTCTCAGTTGCAGGAAGAACTCATTGATATGATGATGGATCTCTATGAAAAGTATTGTTCGGTAATAAAAGTGTAAGTGGCTTTTGGAGTGAAGTAAATATTGTTGCTAAATATTCCCGGCTTTGTGCAGTGCTTCAGCCATTTTCACTTGATTTCCCAAATTCATACTTGGTTGAAACTGGTTGTAGCCATGCAGAAGCATTTCTAACTAAACAGAGAAACAGACCGAACCTGGAAAAGCTTGGTGACTTACCAATAAAACTTACCAGTCACCAACCAAATATCAGTGACCTTGTTGACGCTCATCACATGCATCCTTCCCATTAATAATATTAACAGTTTCAGTAAAAAAAAAGGGTGTGTTAAATCTCATATTTTTTCATAATTTAAATACTACATTTTTAATGAAGTCATTATAATTATTATTATTATTATTATTATTATTATTATTATTATTATTATTATTATTATTATTATTATTATTATTCGTAGTACTACTAAAGCACTATTTATTAAATTATTTTCATATACATGTTAGGGGTCGATGAACAATCAAAAACTTAATGAAGGGGTCGATGAGTTTCTGGACCCCTGACGTAGACAAACGTCTACCCAGTGAGTTGTTGTACTAAGTTCTGTACCTAGTACAGCACAAAGCTTCTTTATACCAGTCCGATAACTACTTCAAAAGTCAACAGTGGAATTAGTAAAGTTGATAATGCTGGCACACAGCCAACCAAAATTAAAGTTGACTCGAAAGTAATGTTAACAAATTTCAATATGTCATCTACAGTGCCAAAACTTGAACAAAAGTTTATTGATCCCTAGCAAATTACTGAATATGTAAGTGGTAACAAGTACGAAGTTAGAGAATAAAGAGTCCCACTTAGATCATAAGTAGTGAGTGACGATGCTGATGAGATTTGTGGAACCCAGACGAGTGAACCACAGAGACAATCCTTCTCACCATCTACCACTAAAGAACCCAGACGAGTGAACCACAGAGACAATCCTTCTCACCATCTACCACTAAAGAACCCAGACGAGTGAACCACAGAGACAATCCTTCTCACCATCTACCACTAAAGAACCCAGACAAGTGAACCACAGAGACAATCCTCTCACCATCTACACTAAAGAACCCAGACAAGTGAACCACAGAGACAATCCTTCTCACCATCTACCACTAAAGAACCCAGACAAGTGAACCACAGAGACAATCCTTCTCACCATCTACACTAAAGAACCCAGACAAGTGAACCACAGAGACAATCCTTCTCACCATCTACCACTAAAGAACCCAGACAAGTGAACCACAGAGACAATCCTTCCCACCTTCTACCACTAAAGAACCCAGACGAGTGAACCACAGAGACAATCCTTCTCACCATCTACACTAAAGAACCCAGACAAGTGAACCACAAGACAATCCTTCTCACCACTCTACCACTAAAGAACCCAGACGAGCGAACCACAGAGACAATCCTTCTCACCATCTACACTAAAGAACCCAGACAAGTGAACCACAGAGACAATCCTTCTCACCATCTACCACTAAAGAACCCAGACAAGTGAACCACAGAGACAATTTTTCCCACCATCTACCACTAAAGAACCCAGACAAGTGAACCACAGAGACAATCCTTCCCCACCTTCTACCACTAAAGAACCCAGACGAGTGAACCACAGAGACAATCCTTCTCAACATCTACCACTAAAGAACCCAGACAAGTGAACCACAGAGACAATCCTTCCCACCTTCTACCACTAAAGAACCCAGACGAGTGAACCACAGAGACAATCCTTCTCAACATCTACCACTAAAGAACTCAGACAAGTGAACCACAGAGTCAATCCTTCTCACCATCTACCAGTAAAGAAACCAGACAAGTGAACCACAGAGACAATCCTTCTCACCATCTACCACTAAAGAACCCAGACGAGTGAACATTAGAACATAAGTAACAAGGAACACTGCAACAGGCCTACTGACCCATGCGGAGCAGGTCCATGTCCCCCCCTGATTAGACCAGTGACCCCCCCGATTAGCCCAATGACCCCACCCAGTCTGGTCACCTCCACTCAAGGATGGAGCATTGCACTAAACCCAGCAGCACAAGCTAGTCAGGTCCAACTCACACCCACCAACACCCACTCATTTATTTATCTAACCTATTTTTAAAGCTACACAACGTTTTTAGCCTGAAATAACTGTACTCGGGAGTTTGTTCCAATAATCCACGACTCTATTGCCAAACCAGTGCTTTCCTATATCATTCCTGAATCTGAATTTTTCCAACTTGAAACCATTGCTGCGAGTCCTGTCTTGGCTGGAAATTTTCAGCACGTTATTTACGTCCCCTTTATTTATTTCTGTTTTTCCATTTATACACCTCGATTATATCCCCCCTAATTCTAAACGCCTTTCGAGAGAGTGCAGATTCAGGGCCCTCAGTCTATCCTCATAGGGAAGATTTCTGATACATGGGATCATCTTTGTCATCCTCCTCTGTACTTTTCCAGAGCATTTATATCCATTCTGTAATACGGTGACCAGAACTGAGCAGCATAGTCTAAATGAGGCCTAACCCAAGGATATATAGAGTTGAAGAACAACCTGAGGACTTCTATTTTTTATACTTCTTGATATGGAAGCCAAGAATTCTGTTAGCTGTATTGCGAACACTAATGCACTGTTGTCTTGGTTATAGATTAGTGCTAACCAGAACTCCTAAATCCTTATCGCAATCAGTAGTATATAAAGATATACATTATTAGTTTATATGTGGCATGGTTACTTAACTGTTCAACATTTAGAACTTTGCATTTGTCAATATTAAACTGCATCTGCCACTTCTCTCCGACCATTGCTCAGTTCTATTCAAATCATCCTGGAGTGCTCTAGTGTCCTCATTAGAATGAACTGGATGGCCTATTTTGGTGTTATCAGCAAATTTTGCATATGTCGCTATTTATTCCCTCATCTATGTCGTTTATGTAAATTGTGAACAACAACT